GGGCCCAGCTCTGGAGGAGACTCCCCACCAGGACAGCATCTGACATGGACAAAGCAATGTGAAAAGCAGAACCTGAGAAGTCTCTCACAAAATTTCTGCTGGCTTGAAAAAGTGACACTCATGTCAGTACTTTAGTGACAGAAGAAGCCAAGGAGCTTGCTATCATTTGGATAGAAGCATAAAAGAGAAAAAGACAATGGAGAAGAAACTAAAGCAGGCAAATATATTACTAAAGGAAAGAGGAGCAGTACACAGAGTACACTGACATTCTGCCTCCTCTAGAATTCCAGTTTGATCGTGAATCTGCTATATTATGCCATGCATAATAAAAATCTGGACATAATTACAATTTGTCAAAGAGAAGTCATCCTGAGGCAGCCTGCTGACAAGTCTAATTAAATATGACCAGATTTTATAATATTCAACTTCCATTTTAATGTCATTTTTAAAAATTCTGAGAATATGTTAGTTAACATTTTACTTCATTTTATTTATGTGTGTTTTGTTTCAATCTTTGCTCCTTTATTTTCAGTCTGGCACCATAAAACCACATAAGAATGTCTGTGACTTCCATTTTTTAATTTCTTGTTAACTAGTATGAAATAGGGATTTAATAAAACATGAGTTCATATTCTGAAATGTTTCCTCATATGAGCTACAGTTCAGCTTGACACATGAACTTCAGAGTCACAAACTCTAATGCCGTGCACTGGCCGGTGATAGGCCCAACCCCACCACCCAAAACCACACACAGAGCTCAGGAAACAAAGATGGCAGCTCTCATCTTCCACAGATGAACTTAGACATGAAAAGAAGATTACATCTTACATTTTCTTCTCTAACTTCAAAATCCTAATGGAAATTCATCATTCTAGGTGTGTGTCTTGTAGGTGGAAGATCATCCATCTTTTAACTCAAGAACATAAACATATTGCCCTGGACCTCCAACCTAGTGTTCCACGACCTGCCTCCCCAACAGCCTCCATCCTCAAGTTCAGGTTGTCTCATAGGCCTATGTGGACACAGAACTACTTAGAAATCTGTTCCATTCTGAGCCCTTGAAGCCTACATTCACTACGTTTATGCTTACTGCTCCACAATCTTGCTAGGCTTGAAGTTGTTTATAGTTTTACTTATGATGTTGATTTCAAATCAAAATTAAAGTCATTTTTCCCAGTGTTTGGGTTTTTAGACGTCACATAAATGGGTCTCTGAGTCGGAAAATGTTGATTGTGTTTAGTTCCCTCCACTGGCACCACCTTTGTATGCCATCTTCCCAGAGCATCGAATGTCCTGGAAGTCTTTCCAGAAGAAGGAGGGAAAGCACAATTGTCCCCTTAAATATCCAACACTGAGTAACAACATCAGAATGGGAGGGTATGCACAGTCCAGCCCAGAACTGCTCAGAGATGGGAAAGCATTTTTGTTTTTGATATTGCTGCTAGATCCTCCCATGGACTGGCTAACAATGAAACAGTCTTCTAAATTCTAAATATATGGACAAATATTATTTTCCCACCATTTTCCTTCTTTTTCCAGGAAAAGAAATGCAAACAGAGAAGGAAAAATAACTGTTTCGACTCTTGCTACATACTTCTCCAAGACTAGTAGCAGATGTTTCCCACTGAACCCTATGGAAGCTGTTGGTTCACATGCAGGGTCTCCACAGTCTAGATGAGAGAGAGAAGCATGGAATTGTCAGTTCCTAAAGTGACGCTCAAAATAATTCAGGGAACTCCTTCTGCAGGAAGAATAACAACTGTAGGCTGCATTGAGCAGCCTCTAGGCCAGTAACTGTCCAGCTCCCACGCCATAAAGAGGAGAGTCTCTGCAAGGACCTCCTGGATAGGAACTTGGAAAAATGGAGTTCAACAGCAATGCAAAAGGTATGAGGGGGTGGTGACTTAACTTCAATATTCTTAGTATGGGCAAAATGCCACTTAGTCAATTATGAAATGAATCCATTGGCTCTAACTCCAAAACTTCTGGGAGAGGGGATCATATAACCCTTCTTTGTTCCTAAAGCAAACATACAAGTGTGAATTCATTGATTGGTCTATCCATATTCATATAACTACTCCTAATGACAAAGTGGAAGAATTGTAATCATGTTTGTTTACTCTCTGCAGAACACCATTATACATAACCAGTATAAATTTTATACCAATTTATACTAGAAATTATTCCCTAGTCTCAGTTATTTACAGAGATAAAAAGAATCTACCTACTTCTTGGAATGTACCTACTTCTTCAAGGAAGAAATAGACATGGATTCAAATTAGGGCACATTTAACACACTTAAAAATGCCAACTGCTGATTGGAAATACCACTAAGGTCTGAGAGATAATCAAAAGGTCACACAAAGTCATCAGAAAAATATCAAGAAAGACATATCAGGAATGGCACAGAGTGCCATGTCTAATGAATGACTTCGGTGGGAAACAAAGATAATTACCAAGCTAAGCAGATTCTCTGTCCTGACTGTAAGGAACTGGGGTGACAATCCCAAGGTCATAGTCTTGCAGTGCTGCACCCACAAAGCAAGCGCATTTATCTTGCAGATTGGAGGCACTGTACACTCTTGAGAGCCCATGTCTGTCAAGCTCTGTACCCCAAGAGAGATGCATGAGTTTTCCTGTTTCTAACTAAAGATATGGATAGAAAGAGGCAGAGAATAATGCTTTCCTCATTTGCCAGTACTCTCAAGCAGGACTTACCTCAACTGAGCTCATATATACTGTGTGCTCCAAAGAAGTCGATAGCCAACACCCCTAAATAATGTGACAACATAACATTGATGATGATGGTATTTAATACTGTTTTACATGGATCAACAGCAGGGGTAGCGTCAAAAGTCAGGGATTTGAGGACAAACATGTAAAGGGCATATTAAATGCTTTAACTCTAATCCTCACAATGTGCTAAATAGTATTACTGCTTTATCCCCACTTTATAGATAAAGAAGCCGAAGATTAGGGAAGATAAGTAACTTGCCTAAGGCCACACATCCGGTAAAACAATGGAACTCTGCCTCCCAAACACTTTCAGGGGCCAATACCACCTCCAAGATTAATTAAACCTTGTAGAGAAGAGCCTAGCCTTTGAGTGATGGCCTCAGGAATCCAGAGCTTTCCAAAAAAACAGAAGGTGATTTGAAAGGAGATTAGCACCACACACAAAAAAATGCAGAACTTCTAAAATTTCCCAATGATCAGTCAAATCTCAATTCTGTGTGGAATATTTTCCAACTCAACTATGTCTTGATTTTCTAGGCTTGGGAGTGGGGTGAGAAGGAGCATGCAAAATATTTTATAGCTTTAATATTTCTCCTGGATGTAAAAGAAGCAGCCTTGTATGTGCAACTATGAGGCAATGTGTTCTTGGGGATTATAGCAAATAGGGTGCTTCTTGTGTGATATAAGATCAGCTCAGCACAGGAACCCCACATTTCACCCGGAAAATTTTGGGGGTAAGCTAAGGAAGCAAAGGATGAGATATTTCAAGCAAATGGTTTCAGAAGCAGAGGACAGCAGACAAGAATACCTACTGGGTTTCAAGCTATTCTAATCACTAGCCAATTGGCCAGCGAGGGAAGACAGTCTGCTCCTCGCACTTTTGGAATCCTTTGGCAACTGCAGGTTACCTCTGCTATAGCTCTGGGAGGAAACTGGATCTCTCATGGGGAGAAATGGCCTCAGTTTCCCTACTTCCTTCAATGTTCTTTCCATGTGTGGGAGGGTCCTGCTTTTACATATGTAAGTGTATATGTCTGTGACTGTCTCATACATGTATTTATGCACATGAATACATATAGTGAATATGCTCTGTGCCCCCTCCGGGGTGGGGGGGGGATCAGGTCTCCAGGGAAAGAGTGTACGACAACTCCCTTCAGCTCTGGTTGAGAGTCTAATCTACCAGTCATTTGTGAGACACAAGGCAGGGGCCCAGGGCTGCCCCTGAAGAATTTTAGGTATGAACCACGAACTCACTAACTCCTTCCCCCTCACACTGCAGAGAGAGAGACAGGGAGGGAAGGAGAGAGAGAAAGAGAGAGAGATGGGGGAAGGAAGGGAAGGAAAGGGAAGGGGAATGAAGAAGGAAAGAAGGGAGGGAGGAAGGAAGGAATAAGAGAAGAAAAGAGGGAGGGGAGGGAGGAAAGGAAGAAGGGAGAGAAGGAAAGGAAAGGAGAGAGAGAGAGGGAGAGAAAGAGAGAGAGAGAGAGAGAGGGAGAGAACCACTTTGTTTTTGCAGAAAAGCAGAGCTGAATGGACCACAGCTCTTCAGCCCTTACTTTGCTGGGATAAACACCCTGCATGGGACAAGTCTGTGGCCACTTGAAAGCTCCTTCTACCAATGCATTCTTGCTACCTTCGTGTTTTCTCAAGCACTTGTTCAAAAACACATCTAAGTGGAATGTTTTCGTTTCTGCAGATTGCATTAATTACGGGTTCGCAAGCCAAGCAGGCACAGGAGGTCTAAGCTGGCCGCTGCTGCACTTGGCCTGGCCAGGGCTGCCACCGAGAGGCCACAGCGTGGTCCCCACGGCCTGGGAGAGTGAGAGCAGGGTTACCACCCACCTCCAGGAGCACGGGAACAGTGAAACGGTCTTCCTGTCAGTGTCACTAGCTACATGTACTGCACACTTGGGGGTCTCCCAGGCGGGAAGGCCCCTGAATCTGCCACGCACACCAGCTGGACCCCACTCCTGGCGCCCCAGGCTGGCTCTCCAGGATGGATGGGTACCGGCCTGCCCGCTCCTCTGCAGACAGTGCGCGTCGTGTCCTATGCTCCTGGTCCCGGGCCGTGCCACCCGGGCGGGCCTCAGGACCCCGCACTCTAAGCTCCTGCCGCCGCCGTGGGCGACAGGACCCTCCCGGAGCCCTGATAGCCTGGGCTTCGGCGTGGACACTCACTCGCGGGGCCGCCCCTCGCTCCCCGAGGGCACCTGCTCAGGGAGCGAGGGGCGTGGGGACTCGGTGGGCCAGCGGGCCGGGCTTACCGTGAGCGCCGAGAACTTCTGCGTGGCCGCCGGGGGCAGCAGCGCGGTGAGCAGCAGCAGCCAGCAGAGTTGGGGCAGCAGCATGGTGACCGGCTTGGGGACCAAGACTTGAGGCTGCCGCGCCCTGCGCCCTGCGCCCTGCACCCGGGCACTGGGCCGGGAGAGCGGGCGGGCGAGCGCGCGGCCGATAGTGCAGCGGCTCCTCGTGGTCCTCTTTCTCCCCAGCTCCGCGAGCCCACCCAGTGGTCCTCCGCGTCCGGTGTGACTTGCCTCGCTCCTGTCAAATACCCTCAGAACTTCCCGGATCCTCCCCCCTCCTCCTCCCACCTCCTCCCGCCCTCTCCCCTCTCCTCCTCCAGCTCCACCTCCCCGAGCCCGCCCTGGAACCCGCTGGCTCTGGTGCCCGCCCCGCGCGCCGGTCTGGAGAGAGAAGGTGGAGAGGGTCCCCAGGGCTGAGCTGTCGCCTGCTAGAGCTTTTGCGTGCCTGCTCCCCACACACACACTCTCTGCCCATGCACGCGCACAACGATGGCATACACACGCAAGCACCCACACTCACACGTGCAAGCAGGCAGAAGAGCTCCAGGCACAACCCTCCAGCACCAGAGCACAGTCTGTCCCAGCCAGCCAGCGTGGTCCAGTGGGCCTCGTTCGTCCACCAAGGTTAACATGAAGTCCTGGAAATCCCAAAAGCCCTTTGAGCTCTTGATTTCCAGACTCTGGTAACACCTGAATAGACCAACAGACCAAAATCAGCCCCTTGGTTCAGCTCTGCCAACCAATTCCTGTCTCCAGCTCGGCAGCTGAGAACACCATACCTTCCTGGAATAGGACCTCCAGACCAGCAGCTTTTTGCCCTTCATGCACTCCTGGGATTTCTGGATGCCCTGTCCAGTGGGAGCTCTTACTTGGACAGTACTCTTGACCCAGGGCAAGTAGCAGGAATGCACCTGGCATCCTTTGTACACAGATGTGGCTGCCTTTAACCATCTGGACCAGGTGTTTATGCAGGAGCACCGGGCTTGTGGAGCTGTTAACTTGTCCTGGGCAACTGCAATGGAAACCTAGAGAATTCTGCTCATCCAGATTCTGTGTAGCATGCACGGCAGATAGGATTGCTGAAATAGTTTAGCCTTGGCTTGTAACTTCACAGGAAAAGGCCCTAGTTCTGTCTCACACAGAAAGCTGTCAGTGGAGACCCTCAAGAACAATGAATCAACTGACTTGTCAGGAGCTCCAGGAAAAGAACAAAAAGAGAATCCACATCTGACTTTTCATTTGATGCTCGGACTGCTGTTTTGACAAAGTATCTGGGCGGGAAGGTTGTATCAGGAAACCCTGGGCTTGGGCCAGTGTGTGCACTAGGTCCCCGCTGGGGAGGGTGGGTGCCCCTTATTAGTAGAAGCCCCGTGCCCCTGGAGCCATGGAAAGATGGGAGAAATGACTCTTTCCCAGAAGAGGGGCTACTGTAAGTCTCTTTCAAATTCTAAAGCCCAGAGAATAGATGAAGCACTTAAACACATTTCTCTTGGTTTGGGGATTTAGAAGGAAATTAGGATTAAACTTTTCAGGGACTGCTCTTGGGTCTAGAGAAAAGGTGAGCAAGTAGGAGTAAATGACTGAGAAAGTAAGAACTAGGATTAGTGAAATTTAATCAAATCAAAGTAAAAGTAAAGCTGCATTCCACTAACTCTAAGATTATTTGAAGAAAATTTCAATTCAAAGCTGACATAACTCCTTTAAAAAGTATTTGCTACTAAAGATTTTCTTTCACTTTCTACTTCTTCAGAGGACTGCAAATCATTAGCTGGAATATGTGATAATGCACATTGTGCTATAGAATTCTGAGCACTAGAATTTATACTTCATCCACTGCAAGAGCTACAAGCAAGGGTAGACTTGATTATTTCCATTTTAGAGATGAGAGACCAAAGCAAAGGGGGCCAAATCCTGCTCAGGTCTCCCAAACCACAGAACAAGGGACAGAATCCAGATGTCCAAATCCTCCATTCTGGCATGCCCACTGCACTTCCTCTGAAGATACAGATGGCAGAAGGAACTTCCTCACCTCTGTGGCTTAGACCCAAGACTCTCAGCACATCTGTCACATTTCAACTACAGAATCCTCCGGCAATTCCAGAAAGACCAATGAAACCTATTTATTTGGGATGCTGACAGATGAGGCCAGGTTGGAGACTTCAAAGGCCCTGTAGAATCTAGAGGAGCTCTTGTGGACTGAAGGCCAAATTTTATTTTTTCAAAGATCCTAGAAGTGGAGTTTGGAGAGATAATCAGTTTCCATTTCTGTGAAAAAAAATAACATATTTACTTAAAACATTAGGAAACGGTTATGTCTGTCCGTCATTTTCAAGTCCCGAGAAAGTCATTGCTGGCATAAAAGCCAGATACATGCCATGTCAAAAAGGATATGTAAGTCAGCTCACTTTGTGTGTAGTAAGACAGGAAGTCTTACTAAGCAGTTTTCTAAGCAGTTGCTATAGGACAGAAAGAAGCCTCCCTTTCTTCAAAATATGGTTTCATTTTATATTAATGAATGATAAAGGGACCATCCTAAACCGTGGATTATGGACTCAGAATTTAAATTTGTGCCACTGGTGAAAGTTACAACAAAGAAGAGCAAGAGAAACTGCCAAGAATTGTGGCCACACTTAAGTTTCTCAGATGAATTTGCCCTTTAAGCCATTGGTGTTGGCTTTCGTCTTAAAATTATTTTTACAATGTTCAAACTCCAAGATGATTTTATTCATTCTATAGACATGATATAGTTCACTATTTCTGGCTTATAGGTTGATGTCTAGCCAGAAACTCTTTGCTAGTCATTCTCTTACCTCAATATGCAAAATTCATGTTTAGTCAAACGTTCTTTTATTTTTCAGTGACTTCTGAAAGCTACCTCATCAGTCACAGTGGGTGTCAATAGACACTGAATTGGAGCCAGGCCTGACCACTGTGTGTACCATGCACACAACCAGTTACCTGTCAGCTGCTTGTTTCATTACTGTATTCTGCAAGTTTCTACTTCACCCTGGGAAGAGGAGCCCTCACAGTCCACTTGGGCCCCAAAGGTACCTGCGGTGCCATTATCCTTCGGATGTCTCCTGTGCTCTCCTGAGACTGGTCAGCCTCCCAGGGTCTCTGAAGTCTCCATCCTCCACCTGCTAGGCAGGTGGGTGGCCTACATCTTTCTGTAGCTTACTGCTACAGTCCATGTGTAGACTTGTGACCCACATCCAGCCCAGGTTTCTAGCCCCAGTTCTGCATGGTCAGAGACCTGAGTGCTAGGAAGGCCAGGAGACACAGAGAGCTTGGTTACATTTGGAGGAAGCTGGAAAATATGCCTCAGGGTGAAGGCTGCCTCAGAGAGCAGACAATGGCAGTGGCATCTGAGCCCTGAGCCCAGCTCAAAGGCTGTGTCCTTACTTGCATGTATTTAGGGAATGCAGAATTTGATTTTGTCTTAGTGTTCCATTCAGTCCTGTGAACAAATTTCTCCTTCCTTCTTAAGATGCCTTGCAACATGGCTCATGACCACACGTTCCAGGCACTTTATGAAATCCTCAGTAAACAACTGGAACGTGCTGGTGTTTTACACACAAGAATTCCGTCTTACAGGGGTTCTGAAAAGCGGGATTTTACAGACAATCATAAGGAAGCAGAGAAGGTCACAGCGCTCCCCAGATCTAAATCACCAGCAAGGGCTGCCACAGACTGAAGGGCTCTGACCCTGGCCAGGGGCACCCCTGCAAATCTTACACTGTTGACATGAAAGAACCTGAAAGCTGCAGCAGGAAAAGGTTCCAGGTCCACAGTCTGCTGCATGGTCCTGAGAGGATCAGTTCTCACACCTTTTATATCATAGGGCCCTCAGGTGTGATGAAAACTATGGATGGGCCTCTTTACCCAGAAATGTGTGATGCGCATGCACACAGACACATATGCACTCATTCACTGACTCACTGCTTTGCCTACTAAGATGCAACACCAAACCAAAAGAGAAAAGTCCTTTGCAGTTGTTTTGATTTATTGGTGATACTGCAGGTCCAGCATGATGTTTCCCAAGTTAAAGTTAAAGGTTTCCAAATAAAGCTCTAATTCATGAAGTCAGATGCACAACTACTTTGTCCTCAGAGGACTGTCCTCTGGGGAGGAAGGAAGAGGCCACCCCTTCTGCAGGGGCAGATCTGGAGGAGGAGGTGCTCAACTGCACACCCACTGCACAGATTATCAAAGCTCACAGCAACTCCTATGAACACTGCCCCAGCTCACTGAAAGCATTGATCATAATGTCCACGAAACAGCCTTTGGTGCTGCATGAAGCCCATGCACGGGGGCGTGTACATGAGCTATGGAGCTAATAAAACCAAGGGAACACAGTGAAGGCTGAGCACACTTGCAGGCCTAATATCCTAAACACACGATCTACACTGCTTCCAGATTTTCCCTCCCTGTTAGTGTTAACCCACACAGGACTCCCTTCTTCCCTTCTTCCTACAAGAGAGACTTTTCTTCATACAGAAAAAAGTTTTAAAATGGCAACAGAAATATAGGTTGCTAGGAATACTTGGGGCATTGTGGACCACACAGATATGATTTATCCGGACAGAAAGCAGTGTAAGAGGATACTCCAATAAAGAACACTTTCAATTACCTTCAGCAATCCCCCCACCCCCTCTCTTGCCTAACCCAGCACACAGGCAGGATGGAATTCCATCAGCCCTCCTCACTCCAGATCTGAGCTGAGTGTTAAATGCACCATCCAAGGAGAAAAATCTTTAGATATTTGTGACTAATAGCATCATGCCTGCAAATAATGATGCGAGAAATAGTTGTTCCTTGGCCTTACCCCTCCTCAGGTCTTGAGGTCTCTTTCAGAGGAGTCCCTCATTAACCGGCCTTGCTCTGTCTGTATAACTGGGAACCCTGGCTGGCTTCAGCTCCACAAGCCATGACTTCTTGATCTTGGCTCATCTGCCTTCTTCCTGGGCAACTCTCTTGATGCCTTTTTGTCCCTGGAAAACAAGACCTGAAGTAGAGATGCAGTTACGTACCTTTTGTTCCATTTTATTCCTAGTTCTCTTACCCTAAAGGAAACAAATTTCTTGTTTAATTCCTGTAAAGTAATTTCACTAGGAAAGCACTCAGGCTAATGAAGTTTTCAGAGCCCCCTACAGGCACATGGCCTGTCTCGTGCAGCTTTCGAGGGGGACCATGGTGTGTGGTGAATGTATACTGCATGTCAGGGGCTCACACAGGTGTGTACACAAGGAGGATCAGTGTACAGCTGGAACCTCTGTGACTGGCATGTCTGTGCCAAGGAGGCCCTGGAGGTGTGCAGGCATGTCAGGCCTGGCATGGCTGTATCTGCTGGCAGAGGGGCAGGTGGAAAATTACACAGCACCTGTCCACTGCCTTCTGGTACACACTCCCCACTCAATCTCTTCTTTTCTGGAGCACTTGGAACTGCTTCCCTCTGTCCTAAGTGAGGGTGCATTATTTTGCATGTTCTGTGCTCAGGCATCCTTACCACTTTCTTGAACAATAAGAGCAATTTCAACCATGGTATTGTGACATAGGCAGCTTAGCAGGATGTGCATTATTCAACTCATAGGCCATTCCATAGAATGTCCTTTTGAGATCCTAGAAGCAAAGGAAATCATGATGTTTCGAAT